ACAACTATCAGACACCAGTTTGATAATGTAGAAATTGTATATCTAAATTTATCCTGAAACGTAATTTCGTGATCTCGTAAACATCATACTCCCTCCGTCCCAAAAAAAAAAGCCAAACCTTGGGTTTTCGTGTCCAACTTTGATTCGTATTTTTATTGTTGTTAGATAATAAAACATGATTAATATTTTATGCGTGACTTGTCTTTTTAATTTTTTTCGTATTTTTTTCAAATAAGACGGACGGTCAAACGTTGGGCACGGAAACCAGGGTTTGCCTTTTTTTTAGGACGGAGGGAGTACTAGTCCTGGTCACTTCCATTCATATCTTGGCACTGTACGTTACGTAGTAGTAGTAGTAGAATATACTCTTCCATTCATACCTAAATTGAAGACTTACAGAAGAAGACGGAGCAAACTCACTCCACACGGCGGTTCAAGGTTCAGAAACCCATAAAAGAACATGGAATTGCAATGCAAGAGTGAAGAAGAGGTTTTATCCATCGAGTCCTCACCATTGTGAATTTGTGATCATCGACAACAGGTATGTACACACTTGAATCTTAACACAGCACTTAACTCCGGTTTTCTTTTCTGAATCAGCAAATTTCTTTTAATTAAGAATCTAAATATGGTGCACTTTGCTACTATCTTCCAATGGTGCAGATTTTTTTAAAATTTTTTCTTTGTTCTTTTGGGGGTTTAGTAACAGGGTCTTGGCTTGGGGACTGGGGAAGAAGGCAGCAGCCAGCATGATGATTCGTGAGATCTGCATGGTATGTATACATCAGACATTGCACATATCCTTGCAATATATACCTCCTCTGTTCTTGGAGCTTTTAAATTAAGTTACTCCATCTTGTCTTGCAACTCTGCAGGAAGAGCTGGTTTAGATCTAAGACAAATTAACTGGAGTTACTTTAATACTTTTACCGAGTATAAGATTAGCAAATAATATAAGCATACTTGTTGGGTCTCCATACTATCCGAAATGTCACCTACACAATCATTACTATCCTAAACTTTTGCAAAATAACAGTTGATACATGATAAAGATTCAATGCAATTCTGTTCGACGATGTCCTTAAATCTTCAGTATCAAAGGAAAAAGTTAGGTAACCCAACATTTCTGTAAAAGCGGCCGATATTCCCGACCAACCAAGTATCGTTTTTGAAAAAGCGATACCTTTTTTATTCAAGCCATATATGAATTTTGATTTTTCTAATTTTTGCCAATGTTGTATCCAAATTGCCACTACTGAATGAAAAAACAATAACAAGAAAATGATTATAAATTATTTGCATAAAAGCTTAAGACCAAGTCTACTTGTTTAAATAAAAGAATAGGAAATGCTCTTATGAAACTAAATAAAAAAACCCAAGGCTCTTCGTGTGCGTGCATCTACCTAAGTTCCCCCAAAACGTGCTACAGCTATATTTGAGGATAACAACCTGCAAGGAAATATGTTATGCAAGTGTAGAAAATAATCTCAAAAGGTACCCCCTCCGTCCTAAAAAGACACAAACTCTACCTGTCCAGATTTGTAGCTAGAGTTTATCTCTTTTTTTTTGGACGGAGTAGTACAAATTAGAACACAAATTTTATACCCATTAATAAAACAAGCATATACATATATAACCAAAAGAGATCCAATGAATAATAATTATCACAATACCATACTCGTTTTCATAGATGTGATAGTTCACATATGCGTGAACTCCATCCATTGCTCTAACAAAAGAATTGATTTTTTCAGTCCAAGTAAATGCATGCGCATAAAAAAAGTTATTGCCCTCACGAGACCATCATAGCAACCAATGCATGATGGAAGGATTGTATACTCAGTGGAATGTGATGTTAACCCACCATGAGTGCTTGATGCGTCAAATGATATATGTACGAAATTTCAGCACCACAAATATCATCTCGCCACATTCAAATTTCAGTTCTCCATTAAACAAGCATAAGTAATTGGCAATTATTATACAGTAGTATTTTACACTGATATAATATTTGCCTCTACCCATGACGCACTAGTACAGATCCTTCTATCTGTGATGGGCTCTAATATGCTTAGAAATAGCGGGCCGTCATAAGAAAGTCATCTCAATCGGGCCGAAAAGTGCCCGATTGAGATATGGTCGCACAGATATGTTAGATGGGCATAAAACTTAAGCCCGTCACGGATGACACCTATCAGTGACGGGCCGTAGTTTAGGCCCGATTGAGATAACATTCCATATCTCAAACGGGCCTAAAGTTACGGCCCGTCACAGATGACCATCATCTGTGACGGGCACCAACTTTAGGCCCGATTGAGATAACATTCCATATCTCAAACAGGCCTCAAGTTGTGGCCCGTCACGGATGACCATCATCCGTGACGGGCCACAACTTGAGGCCCGTTTGAGATAACAACTAGGCCCGTCACAGATGACTCATCAGTGACCGGCTATATACTTAATCTCTATCGGGCATTAACTAAAGCCCGTCACCGATGACTATTTTTCCATTTTTCATATGAAATGTTTATATTTGTAAGTTGACTATAGCAAAATAATTAAGTGCAGTATAATAATTTATTTTATGAGTCAAAACAATTTTACGGGTAGTAAATGATTTCAAATGGAAAAAATGTCAACAACAAAGTTGTATAACTTATCAAGATTTACAACTTTTAGTTTGGTCATTTTTCTATATAACATTTTTTTTTGAATAGTTTGAATTTGAATTTGAAAATATGACAACTTCAAACAATATTTTCAAATACTAAATGATTTCAATTGAAAAAGTCATCAACAACAAAGTTGAATAACTCATCAAGATCTAAAACTTTTATTTTTGTTATTTCTTCATCCGACGAAATGTTAGTAATATTATTCACAAATTTTACATATATGTGTTATAGTTTATAAAACCAGATAAGAGATGTCAATTTTGTGAACAATGTTACTATCACTTTGTCGTATGAAGAAATGACCAAAATAAAAGTTCTAGATCTTGATGAGTTATTGAACTTTGTTGTTGATGACTTTTTCAGTTGATATCATTTAGTATTTTAAAATGTTATTTGATGTTGTTATATTTTTAAATTCAAATTCAAACGGTTCAAAAAATGTTATATAGAAAAATGACCAAAATAAAAGCTGTAGATCTTGATGAGTGATACAACTTTGTTGTTGATGACTTTTTCAGTTGAAGCCGTTCACTGATCTAAAATTCTATTTGAACTTTTCAAAATTTGAATTTCAAATTTCAAATTGTTTAAATAGAGTCAGATGGAGAAATGACCAAAATAAAAATTTTGCACCTTGATGAGTTCTACAACTTTGGTTTTGGTGACTTTTCCATTTGAAATCATTTAATAACCCCAATTTGATATCCTAGCCTAGGGCTTAATAGGATTAATAGAATACCCATACTAATAAGTTACAACTACTCTTCCGGAAACCAATCTCATCTGGAGCAATTTCAGGATGGGTGAACGACCGGGAAGTTTGAATTTCCTGCGTGGGTGCACACGAGTGAGGGCAGGGCTAGCCTAAAAATAAAATTTATTTATTTTTGGATTATACTCATCTGGCATTAACTATGGCTATAGTTAATGCCCGTCATAGATGACTCATCTATGACGGGCTATAGTTAACGCCCGTCACAGATGACCCTTATCTGTGACGTGATGCCCGTCACAGATAAGGGTCATCACGTCACAGATAAGGGTCATCTGTGACGGGCGCTAGTTGTCGCCCGATAGAGATAGGTCATCTGTGACGGGCTATAGTTTGACTGGTCGTCTGGGTCAAAGCTAGCGGTGACGGGCTTAACTTAGGGCCCGATTGAGATATATTCATTCGTGACGGCCGTTTGCCCGATTGAGATAACTCTTCACATCAGTGACTTCTAGCCTGTGACGGACGCTGTGCCCGATTGAGATGGGGCTTACCGCCCGATTGAGATCAGTATTTTACACTGATATAATATTTGCCTCCACCCATGACGTACGGATGTGGACATGCGAGGATATATGAAGTACTAACTTCTTGCTGAACCACGTTTGATCCTGTTATCAATTTGCATACATTTCATTATTTTAACTAGACACAGAACAGGTAAATTAAAGAGACATTCAACCTTGCATATTGTTCTTCCATTTGCAAAATTTGTGTAGTAGAAATGTAATTTGCAAAACAATAGTGTTCCCCTTTAATTTTGTTGTCTAGGCAAGTATACTCCGGACTAATATGAAATATAAATGGACATATGTTCACATATTTTTCAGAGTGACAGCTTTATGTTTACAATTTTTTTCAGTGCATCACATGCATAAAGAGATTAAAATTAATATTTTTTCACTGTGCATGCATGCAATTTCTGTATGAAGAAAAATATTAACTCTAATTAACACCTTTCACTTATGCATTATGCAAATACAACAATAATCTTTAGAAGATCAAATTAACATCAATAACAAAGTGTTGTACTGTAATCATCTTGTCTTGTCTAAGATCAAAAGAAACAAAACTCACATAAAAGTGGTGTACTGTAAAGAATTCTCCTTGATTTAATGTTGTCACCATTGACCTTATCACACATACGAATGTAACCAACTTGTCTACGATAACCAAAATATAATGTCCCTAAATGGTGCAAGTCGATTTATTTCCTTTTGTTTAAAGAAAACTTTAGAATTTTCAATATGCAAGTGGTCATAGCTAACTTATGGTCAGATTTAATTATCATGGGCCATAAAACAGATGTTAGGAAATGTTATCTACAACAAGGGAAGAGATATGTCTTCTTAAGCACTAAAGAGGTCAGATAGAGAAAAAAACAAAAATAAACAGATTATCATGGCGAAGTTCCCAATTGTTATATGTAACCTGTCAATATGGTACTTATCATGTTCTACATCTTTTTTTCCTTCCTTTTTAGATATAACATATCAATACAGCTTATTGTATTTTACCTTTCTTCTTCCTTTCTAGGTTTTGTGGTAGAGAGATATACTCAGGCCACCCTGGTCAGGTGTGCAATCAGACTCGACAAGAACCTAATGTCTGAGGCTGTGATTCTTCTAGTTGTGAAGAAGATTGGTGTTGCCCTAGGGAATGAGGCAATCAACCAAGCCACTTCATATTTTCAGAAGTACGTCACACAACTGACAGAGCTTCAAGGTAGCATGGGGCGCATCAAGAGGGAGCTCAGGCTGATGCACGAGTTTCTGTCCCGAATGGATATCCGCAATCGCAACAACAAGATATATGAAATCTGGGTGGAGGATGTGAGAATGTTAGCACATCAGATCGAGGACATTGTGGATGACTACTTGCATCTTGTTAGCCACAAGGACAAACATGATGACACTGGATGGACTACCTATCTAAAGAAAGGATTCAAGAGAATGAAGGGACCAAATGCTCTGCTCTCTTTAAACAGGATAGCTCCGTCTGTTAAGGAAGCAGAGGCCAATCTAGTGCACCTGTTTCAGGCAAAAGAGCGATGGGTTCGGATGGTTGCCGATGAGACTAGTGGTGAAAGCTCATGTTACATTGTTGAGGCGTCACGTCATCTAGCTAGCATTTCATGCTCCCTCAGTGAAGAAGATCTTGTAGGGGTGGATGAAAACAGAAAAAGACTCCGCGAGTGGCTGGCAGGTGATGAATTGGAACGTGAGGTGATAGTGCTGCATGGGATGGGAGGTCTCGGCAAAACAACCTTGGCAGCAAATGTGTATAGGAACGAGAGAGAGAAGTTTGAATGCCATGCCTGGGTCTCCATCTCTCAAACATATTCCATCAAGAACATTCTGAAATGTCTGATCACTGAACTTTTCAGAAATGCCAAACAAAATCCTCCGGTAAACCTTGGGGACATGAAAGCTGAAGGCCTTCAAGATGAATTGAAGGCATTCCTAAGGGACCGGAAGTATTTGGTCATATTAGATGATGTTTGGGCACCAGAAGCCATCAGTAACTTGTTCGGAGCACTTGTTTCTAATCTCAGGGGGAGTAGAGTACTTGTCACAACACGCATTGATGAGGTAACTCACCTTGCTTTCCCAAACAAGAGGATTAGGCTAGAACCTCTATCACAAAACGACTCATGGGAACTCTTCTATAAGGCGGCTTTTCCAAGAGAGAAGAAACTTGAGTGCCCCACAGAAGTAACACAGCTAGCATATCAAATAGCAAGCAAGTGCAAAGGTGTACCTCTTGCAATTGTCTCTGTCGGCAGACTCCTCTTTGTGCGTGACAAGACTGAAGAGGAATTCAGGCGCATACATAACCAACTTGACTGGGAGCTCATCAACAACCCGAGCATGGAACATGTTAGGAATATTCTTTACCTGAGCTACATCTACCTTCCAACACAACTAAAAAGTTGCTTCCTCTATTGCAGCTTGTTTCCAGACGACTATCTTTTTACAAGAAAGAAGCTTGTAAGGTGGTGGATAGCAGAAGGGTTTGTAGAGAAGAGGGGTGGAAGCACAATGGAGGAAGTGGCAGAAGGGTATCTCAAGGAATTGGTTCACATGAACATGCTACAGCTTGTTGAAAGGAACTCATTTGGCAGGATAAAAGCATTCAGAATGCATGATATCGTACACGAGTTGGCAGTTGATTTGTGCCGGAGAGAATGTTTTGGTGTTTCATACAGTTGTGAGAATAAGCGTTTCGAGTTTCTTGAGGAGAATGATGAACGACGGATGGTAATACACAGATTAGACAAGGATATTAATCAAGTAATTTCAAGTGAATGCCGCCTTCGATCTTTCATCGCATTGGATAAAGCCATGCCATCATCCACTCTGCTACCTCTGCTATCCGAGAAGTGTAGATATATGTCAGTACTTGAGTTAAGCGGGCTACCCATCGACAATGTTCCAGATGCCATAGGTGATCTATTCAACCTCCGACATCTTGGCCTGCGGGATTCCAATGTGAAGCTCCTCCCAAATTCTATTGAGAAGCTCTCCAACTTGCTAACACTGGACCTCTGTACATCGGAAATACATGAGCTGCCAAGAGGGATCATTAAGCTAAAAAAGCTTAGGCACTTGTTTGCTGAGAAAGCGAACGATCGGTCTGGGCGACAACTCCGGTGTCGCACTGGTGTATGCATCCCCAGTGGACTAGAGAATCTGAGAGAGCTACAGACATTGCAAGCACTGCAAGCTCAGGATGAGCCTTTGAGCTGGTTGGGGGAGCTGAGGCAGATGAGAAGCATAAAGATATGGGACGTGAAGGGAAGCTGCTGCGAATGCCTCTGCGCGTCATTGCGTCACATGGAATTTCTATCCTACTTAAGCATTGCAGCAAGTGATGAGAATGATATCCTCAATTTGAGTAGTTTGAACCCACTGCCTCCAAACCTTGAAAAGCTAAGATTGCGCGGGAGATTGGCACAAGCAAACATGCTGTTGGGTGCAGCAGGGGGTCAGAACCACTTGTATTCGATACATCTATCTTGGTCCCAGCTGGTAGATGACCCACTGCCATCTCTGTCTCGGTGGTCGAATCTGACGGACCTTTTGTTGAACAGAGCGTACATTGGAGATGAGCTCGTCTTCCACCATGGGTGGTTTCCTGCCCTCAAGGAGCTATACATAGGAGACATGCCTCGCCTGAAACGGTTGGAGATTCAGCAAGGTTCCATGGCAAGCCTGCAGCAACTATATCTAGTCAACCTCAGTAGCATGATGGAGGTCCCGCTTGGCATCGAGTTCCTCATGTCAACTCTCAAATCTTTGGGCTTCGCGGAGATCACCCGGCAATTCCTCGCTGCGTTGCGCCAATGCTCTAGAATTAATTGCGGTATCCAGTGGTGGTACACACTACTTGGAGAGGATAGGACTCAAGAGGCATCAATATAGGAGAGATGGAATGAGGTTGGCAGACTATAGCTGCAGTTGGTTGATTTGCCTAGCTAGATACAAGCCTACAGCACCTAATGTAAACTATTTTGGACATACATCGACATTTTTTTCACAAAAATTCTCCCTTTGTGTTCTCAATGAGTTGTGGAATCGTCCCCAGAAAAAAAAACAAAATGTGTCAAAGTGAAATGTAAATCATTCTGCTTTTCCATGTACACAATCAGTGCATGCTTAAATATCTTCATTGGTCTTGTTATGCTCCTAAGATACGTATGAATTAGCTTTAGAAGAAAAGAGAGAGGAAATTTTAGTTACCTGTGTAAAACAATGTATATCTTATCTTATCTTCTAGTTAGTTGATCTAGCTAGATAATAGGGTAGTTGAGTTGGATAACATACGATGTAACAAATCTTATCACATTGTTTGTAAGCCACGTCAAGGGCTCTTCTTGACACATAAATACAAAGGTGCGGCCTCCTCTGGGAGGTGAGAACGCTTCCATCTTTACGTGGTATCAGAGCCCGCCTCATCTACCCTTCCAAAAACCCTAGATCATTTCCTCCCCATGGCAAGCTCATCTTCCTCATCCGCCGCGCCTGCTGCGCTTGGTCCTCCGGTGACTGTGAAGCTGACGAGGGAGAACTATGTCCTGTGGCGTGCACAAGTTCTCCCGGCGCTTCGCGGAGCGCTCCTCACCAACTACCTCGACAGCACGGCAGAAGAACCGGCCAAGACAAGGACGACTGTCGACAAGAATGACAAGGAGATCGTCAGCAACAACTCGGAGTACGCGATGTGGATGGCCCAGGACCAGCAAGTCCTGGCCTATCTACTCAATTCGCTCTCCAAAGATGTGCTACAGCAAGTAGCGACACTAAACACATCTGCTGAAGTTTGGGCGGCCATCACCAACATGTACACCTCCCAATCTCGAGCACGCATCACCAACCTCAGGATCAGCCTCACCAACTCCAAGAAAGGATCCACAACAACTGCCGCCTACTTCTCCAAGATGAAGGGCCTAGCTGACGATCTGGCGTCAGCTGGCAAACCCATTGACGACGACGAGCTGGTCTCGTACATCCTGGCGGGCCTCGACATCGACTACAACCCGCTGGTCTCTACTGTGGTAGGCAGATCTGATCCAATTTCTCTGAGTGATTTGTACTCCTAGATGGTTAGCTACGACAACCGCATGGATCATCTTCAAGGCGGAGGGCAGATCCAATCTTCTGCAAATGCTGCTTTCCGTGGTCGCGGCAACAACAACAACAATTTCCGTGGTCGCGGCAATGGAGGCTGTGGCCGTGGAAACGGTGGGCGCGGTGGCGGCCAGCAAGGACCGCGTCCGGTCTGCCAACTTTGTGGCAAAACTGGCCACACGGTGATTAAGTGTTGGTATAGGTTTGATCAAACCTACCAGCCTGAAGAGAAGGTTGCAGCTGCGGCAACAAACTCCGCCTACGGGGTCGATACCAACTGGTATGTCGACTGTGGTGCCACAGATCACATCACCGGGGAACTCGACAAACTCTCCATTCGAGAGAAGTACAATGGTCTGGATCAGGTGCATGCAACAAATGGCTCAGGTATGAACATTAGTCATATTGGTCATTCAGTAATTTCTACCCCAAATAAAGATCTTCATCTAAAGAATATCCTTTACGTTCCTACTGCGAACAAAAATCTTGTCTCTGCGAATCGCTTAGCCTTTGATAATGATGCTTTTGTTGAAATTTACCCCAAATTCTTTAATATAAAGGATCAGGCAACGAAGAAGCTACTACATCACGGCAGAAGTAAGGGATGGCTCTATCCTTTGGCTCCAGAACCCGGTGGTCAAAGCCCAAGTCTGAATAAAATTGCCTTGAGCATTGTCAAGCCATCTTCCATTAGGTGGCATTATCGTTTAGCTCATCCGTCTTTTCAAATTGTTAATCGAGTTGTCAAAAGTTTTAAGCTTCCTTGTTCTAGTGAGTCCAATAATGTCGAACACATTTGTGATTCTTGTCAAAGGGCCAAGAGCCATCAATTGCCGTACCCTAAGTCTATGAGTTTATCCAATGTTCCATTTGCTCTCGTATTCTCTGATGTGTGGGTCCGGCGCCTACCTCTATTGGAAAACATGATTACTGTGTGAGCTTTATAGATGATTTTAGCAAATACACATGGATCTATCTATTGAAAAAGAAATCCGATGTGTTTCAAGCCTTTCTTAATTTCCAACAGTATGTAGAGCGACAATTTAACACCAAAATACTCACTGTCCAAACTGATTGGGGTGGTGAGTACGAAAAACTGAACTCCTTTTTTCAGAAAATAGGCATAGTTCATCATGTCTCATGTCCTCATGCACATCAGCAGAACGGATCTGCAGAACGCAAACATAGGGATATCGTTGAGAAAGGACTTGCCCTCCTATCCCAAGCTTCGGTTCCCTTTAAGTTCTGGGATGAAGCATTTCTTACTGCTACGTATCACATCAATAGGCTACCTAGTTCAGTTATCTCCTTTAAAACTCCCTATGAGCAACTTTTTTCTGAAAATCCTGAGTTCAGTCATCTTCGTATCTTCGGGTGTGCCTGCTGGCTGAACCTGAGACCATACAACGCCCGCAAGCTATCTTTCCGATCCATCCATTGCGCCTTCCTTGGCTATAGCCCCCTTCACAAAGGATATAAATGTCTTGAGATCTCTACAGGCCGTGTGTACATCTCTCGCAACGTTGTCTTTGATGAAACAATTTTCCCTTTTGCTGCCTTGCATCCCAACGCGGGTGCCCGCCTGCGACGGGAAATCTCCTTGCTTCCCACTCGACTGCTTCCCGTCACTGATCAAAGGGGAGAAATTACTAATGATCATATGCTAACATGTTCTACTAATCCCTCTTGTGGTGATCAAGCAACAGGAGCACAGGTCGTTGGCGAAAATTCGGCGCAAAATGGTGAAAATCTGGTGCAAAACTCAGATGAAAATCATGGTGCCTGAAGCAAGCGGTGCTGGGCACGAGGATGATTTGATGGCTGACAGCAGCAGCGGATCCGAGGGCAGTCACAGTCATGCACAGTCTACACCAAGCACAGGTACTGGATCCCAGGAGCATTCAACCCCGGGGTCTGGCCAATCAGGACCGAATTCAGCATTGTCGTCAGGATCGCCTGCGACCACTTCATCGACACATGGGAACCCGACAGGATCAGCTGTGGATGACACGGCTGGTTCAGGATCTTCTGTGCAGCAGTCTGAACCCGTCAGGCCGCGAACTCGCTTGCAGAGTGGGATAACTAAGGCCAGCTGGTTAGATGTTGATGGAACAATTAAGTATTCTTTGGCTTGCTCTACAGGTGAACCAGCTAATGTACAAGAGTGTCACACCCTAAAAATCCCAAATATATAAATTGTTGTCTAAATTAGAATTATTAGAATTTATTTTAAAAGCCTAGAAGAGTAGATCTAATTTTAATTAATAAATTCCAATATAAAATGGGGCCAGATAAAATTTCATTAAATACTTTGCTTAATTCTATAATTCCTAGATTTTTTCTGGGATTTATTTGAGCTAAGAAAGTATTTTTAATAAATAGAATTGCATTTCATGAATAATTTAAATTGGAAAAGGTTTTAAAAGTCTCTTTTGGCTTTGGGCCGAAAGTCGGCCCAAAACCTTCTCTCTCTCTCCCCGGCCCAAGCCGGCCCAGTCCGCCCGCAGCCGCCGCGTGCGCGCGCTCGCTGCCGCTGACAGGTGGGGCCCGCCTGTCAGGTCGTCGTCTACCTCCGGCCGCCGGCCGCCCGAACCCTAGCCGAGCCGCGCCGCCGTCTCCTTCCAAATCCGGCCGCCCCTTTCCGTTTCCGGTGGAATCAATAAAGGGGAAATGATCTTCGGGATCTCCTCTACCTTTTCTCTTTTGGAATCATCGGCTAATTTCGTTTGGAAATCCGTGGATTCGATCTCGAATCGGATTCGTCTCTCTCCCCAAACCCTAGACCTTCCTTCGCCGTCGCCGGTTGCCGTGGGCCTTCGCCGCCGCCTTCCAACCCCTATAAAAGGACCCCCAAGCCCGCCGCTACCCGTCGCCACCCTCATCTTTGTCCGCCGTCGTCCGTAGCGCCCTAGCCCCGTGAGACCTCGCGCCGCCGTCGTCGCCGCCGCTCCAGCCGTGCGTCGCCGTCGCTCGGGAAGGCCACCGTCGTGGTCGCCGTCGTGTTGCTGACCTCGTCCGCCCCTCCGTCGTCGCCGTAGGTTGCTGGAGGATCGCTGTCGTCGTCAAGCCGAAGGTTGCCGCCGCTTCTTCCTCGACGCCGTCGCTGTCCGTTGATCTTCCGCCGCCGTTTTGGTCACCGGTGAGTTCGCCGCGTCGTTCTCTACGTGCTGGTGCCCTCCGTTCGCGTCGTCGCGCCGTCGTTCGCCAGCGAGCTTGCGCGCCCGAGCCGCCGCCGGTGGTGATGTCACCGCTGACGTCATCGTTGCCGTCCGTCGTGGTCCGGCCGTGGACCGGTCGATCTCGGCCGTTCGTTTTGGATGGAAAGATCTCGGCCGTTCGTTTCTGTGAGCCGCCGCCGTGCACCCGGTCCACCGCAAACCCTAGCCGCTGACGCAATAAACCCCTTTTTCCTTTTCAAAAATAATTCATTATTGCGTCATAATTCAATTAAAATCCATATAAGTGTTTTAATCCGATTTAATCTTTGAAAATTCATAACTAATTCATCTTAGCTCGGATTTAGTTGGTTCAAGTCTCTAAATTTTTCTAAAATTGAGATCTACATGTTAAAAATATCCACATGTACTGTTCATGCTTGTTTATGTGCTGTTTGGTGATTTTGCTCCTTTCTGTTTAGATTCCAACGTTTCCGGAGAGTCCGTTTTTGTAGGAGAAGAATTTGAAGAGTTCCAAGGCCAGCAAGGCAAGTCACACAGATCCCAAACAACACTTTGAGCATGTTGATCCCGTTTAAAGCTATTGTTTCTATTCAACTATTGCATTTATTTTCGAATGTCATTGGGTGGAATTAACCTATTGTTTGTTATAGCCCTTTTGTTCTTGATTACTTTATTCCTTGATACCTTGGGTTATTATAACTTGACTAGTTGAGCTTTATATATTGGTTCAGCTAGATATTAGATATGATTGCTTAGCCATGCTTAGAAACATTAGCATATTATTGGGATAACTTATGACTCTCTATTATTTAATGATGGCTTAATGATAGCTCATGATGGTTAATCATGATTGGTTAATTAATTAATTTGCCAACTAAAACTTGGTAATGGTGGGTTGTGAGCACATGGTTTTGAGAGTCGTGCTCATGACAATTAAGGACCAGTTCACGAGTTTCGGTTGTGAAACATTAACCGTGCCAACCACAAGCCAGCGTGGGCAACGGCTTTACCTTTTGTATAGCATGGTTTATTGCGGAGCACCAGACTGAGAAGTGGCGGAGATAAGCCCACGGGGGTCGCTAGGGAGTCCATGCTTTGTTTATAAGGGGGTGATTATGATTCAGGAAAGGTGCGCTGTGGTGGATTGTGTTGTGCGAGGGGTACTGTCATAGCTCCTTTCCGAGGTACCGTGGTGGTATTGAGGCACATGGTGACATGTTGTGGGGCTGTGTCTTGTGGGTACAGTGGTACACCTCTGGCCAGAGTAAAACTATTCGAATAGCCGTGCCCGCGGTTATGGGCGGGTCTAACAATGTCTTTCGTGATTAGTTTCACACTTCTCACCATAATAAAAGATGCTATAACTGGTAATAATTTGATTAGCTCCTTGTTTGGAATATTCCTGGTTTGGAGATAGAATTGTGCAGCCGGGATGGTTGTTCAGAATGGTTGGGCCTAGGCAACAGGGTATGTTGTATAGCGTTGGATTAATATTGTTTAATTATTATTTAAATATTTTATTAAATTATGAAATGTTTATTAAATGCTGTTTATGCAAATGAAACCCTACTATGCCATCCTTTGTTATCCTGTGCACTTGCATATTTGCTGCGTGGCTTGCTGAGTATGTCATATACTCACCTTGCAATCATTCATCAGAGGAAGAGTTCTACAGTGATGCTGATGGTGTGGAGGATTAGGTGTAGCCCTGGTCAAGCTGCCTGTGGAGTGGAGTCGTTTGCGCCGTTTATCTTATTTTTCCGCTGCTTAGATTTTTATTGATTGAGAGGAACTATCTACCTCTGTAAT